CATCCTCCACCTCCACGACCTCCCGGTCGAGGATCACCACCTCAGCCCGGCCTTCACGGCCGCGCTCCCTCACTAACGACGGCTCTAAGACCAACGCCGCCTCCAGCTCCGCCTCGGCCCTGTTCTTGTCCCGCCAGGCCAAGCCTTTGGCATCGTTCGGGTCCAGGCCGAGGTCTGAGTCAGCCCATCCCTCCACCTCGGCCTGGTCGACGAGGTCGGACCGGCTCCTGCAGAACGCGGTCCCTTCAGCGGTCGCGGCGTCCGCCGCCGCCCTCGCCAGCGCGATTGGCGACCTGAAGAAGAAGACAATGAGCAAAAAGAACAAGGCTAGCTCGACAATCCGGATGCGTGCGGGAGATGAAGCTTACCCCAACAAGACCAAGACCGGGGTTGGCCTCCCATGCCCGGCGCCGCGCTTCCTCTTGGCCGGCCTCCCGGCCCCGGCCGGGTCCGCCGTGCGCTTCAGGGCCCGGGGTTGCGGCGCGACACTGTCCTTCCCGTGCGGGCGGCTCGGCGCCGCCCCACGCGAAGACCCGGCTCCGCCCGTGTTACCACCTCCCCCGCCCAACGCTGCTACACCAACAACTGGCGCCAGCATCGCCCGTACCATGCCACGGTCAGCAACTCAAGATACATGAAGAAAAATACAAGACTTACCCGCGCGACGCCTAGCGCCAGCGTCGGCCGCGGCCTCCTCCTCCCCGCCGTGGGCCGCGGGCTCCTCTGGCGCCACCAGCGCCACCTGCGATGGAGCCCGGGTGTAAGGATGCCGGATCGCGTTCAGAAGCACCTTCCGCGTCGCGTCAGGACGGACGAGAAGGTGCGCAGCAGCAAAGTAAGACGACCAGACACTCACCTGCGGCGCCGGGTTCGACTCGTTGTACGGCACCTTGCCGAACCGCCAGTCCTCCCCAAGGTTGGCCTTGGAGATGTCGTTCACACGGCGTGCGATCTGCTCCGCAGTCAGCCGCGTCGACCCCATGCGGTTGGGGTCTTGAAGGCCGACCATTTCGCCGATGAGGCAGGAGCGCCTCTGCAGCGGGAGGACCCAGCGCATGATGAACGCGGCGATGAGGTCAGTGCCGGTGAGCCCCTCCCGCGTCCTCATCACCATCACCCGCTCGCAGAGATTGAGAATCTCCTACGACAGGCACCTGGGCGAGTAGCCCTAGTATGCCTTCGCCCGCAGCAGTGCGATGGCGAAGACCGAAAGGTTGATGCGGTCCGCACCCAAGTTGCGGACGTAGAAGAAGGAGTTCTGCCATTTCTTGGCAGAATCCTCCAGCGGGATCTTGGGGAAGTCCGCCCCCAACCGCTTCGAGATGAGGTAGCGCCGTAGTCGGCGAACTCTCCGGCCGACGGGCCCTACTACTTCAGGGAGAAGAAGCGCGCCCAGAGGTCGATCGTGGGCTCGACCCCCAGGTACCCCTCGCAGAGGGTGACAAAACCGGAGAGCTGGACGATGGCGCCAGCACCAAGATGATGCGACTGGGGCCCGAAGAACTCCAGGAATGTGCGGAAGAAGGTCCTCGCCGGTAGCCCAAACCCGCGCTCGAAGTGCGTGAGGAAGACCACGCGCTCCTGCTCCTCGGGCTGAGACCTCTGCTCGCCGCACGGTAAACGGACGCCGACGTCCGTCTCCCGCGGCAAGAGCCACGTCGCCCGAAGATGGGTGATGTCCTCAGTGGTGACATTCGAACCCATCTAGGAGCCCGACGACAGTGCCATGGTCGAAGGAAGGAGAAAGAAGATGGACGACGAAGGAGTTCTGCTCGAAGCAGCGGGCGCCGCAATGCGTCGGTTGCAAAGAGCGGAGCAAGAGCAAAGGGACAGGAGGGCGCGAGCGAGAATGATGTCCGCCGCCCCCTGCCCCCCTCAATTTATAACCCTCGATTTGAACATGGGGGAGTGGGATCGTCTGCACGCGCCCGTTCCACTACCCCGCAATAAGTGCACACGTACACGCGCAGTAACTGCCCGGGGAAGAGCAACCGGCCCCCGGACGCCGCAATAAATCCGCGCGCGTGGGCCAAGGGTGCGCGGCAGCGGGCCCTAGCCCGTCGCCTAGTCCCGTCACGCGCGTGGCCTGTCAGGCCCCTCCGACTTTCGGGCACCACGTGGCGCCCGCTCGAAGCCCGAGGGATTGCCCCAAGATTCGACAGACTCCTCGGTTCCCTCCATGGCCGGGACGCCGCGATCCGGTTTCTGAGAAAACCGGCACACAGCGGGTGTTGCCGGACCCGGCGCTCGTAGAATCCACCTTGCTTAAGGGGGAAACTACGAAGGCCCACTCATCCGAAGACGGCGGACCTTCACAGTTTCGGGGACTACTGTCGGGGGGATGAACCCCGGGCAGGCAACGGAACCCGGATCCTCTTCAAAAACAACGGGGCTGGCATCGCCCCTCAAACCGGCACGCGCTTGGCCGGGTCGCTCGACCCGGCCAAGCCCCGCAACCCGGCCAAACTCTCTGCCCCGGCAAAGACGCGCCGACTCGGCCTCAACAACTAGCGCAAGACAGCCGAACCTGGCACAACCAAAGCTTCCTCAACAAGCCAGCTCCACCCCGTGGCGTGCTCCGCAATCCAGCCACAGGTTAGCTCCCGTCCCATCCAGGCCGTACGATGGGACGAGTCTTCAATCAACGATGACCAAGGCAATAGTGCCCCCCATGCCTCTGGTCAGCCGGAGCGTGGCAACAGTGCCCCTCACCTACCCGCTGACCAGGGCCGGTGTGGCTACAGTGCCCCCGCCCTCACCGCTGACGACAACAAGCAGCAACCTGACGGAGAGCCACTATACGCGACTCGACTCGGCCACGCCCTGACGATCGACAAGACGGCGCATAGTCCCCCTAGGCACGCGGGGCCCGCACCTAGGGGAACCCGGCGAACCATAGGCCCTCAGCGGGACCCAGCCCGGGTCTCCGGACACCGACAATCCGGACCCACTGACTTGTAACATTACCATTGTACCCCTGGGGGGTTGGTCTATAAAACCCCCCAGGAGCCCACGCTCATACGGGCATGTAACGAGAGAAAGGCAAGTAAGCACAGAACTAGCCACCGAAACAACAACAACAGAGAGAAGGAGCAGCCCAAGTCTTGGCCAGCTTCCTTCCTCCCCCATACAGCTCCAGGAGCAACATTGTACTATTGAACATCCAACTACACTCGGCAGGATTAGGGGTGTTATCTCTCCGGAGAGCCCCGAACCTGGGTATGTCCGGCGTCCCGCGCCCGCTCATGCCAACCTCACCTCTGGAGCCCACCAGCGCCCTCGAGCCTCCTCCTCTCTTTAGCCATCCCTTGACATCTGCCGTGCACCCACCACGACATAATGTTTGCACTAGCTAGTTACCTTAACTAGCTAGGAATTGTAAAAACAATGGAGTGGCATTTCTTGGAGAAGCTGGGGAGAGGGTCAATTCTGGAAGAATTGCCCAAAAGAACTGACCCTGAGAGTGTTATTGTTGAGAAACTACTTGCACAACAAAGAAAACAATCACCAGTCCTCGACCACTTGGTTTTGAGTGAGTCGCTGGTCGTCGGGGCTTGGTACATTTGGTGGCAAAGGAAGAAAATTGTTAAGGGGGAGGGGAAGGTTTTGAATCCTTCAAGTATATCCTTTGCTATGCATGCGATCATGAGTAACTTCGTCGGATCAATAGTCCAAAGCGAGTCAGAAACCTTCTATAAACTCATATAAGTTGAATGTTGATGTTGCTTACTTCGACAATTTATCGGGGTGGCTGCTGCTATCCTCCGCAACAACCACGACGAGCTCTTACCAGAGCTTCTTGGCTTGTGGATCATCTTCATAATGCTACAACATCAAAAGCGATTGCACTTCAGCGAGGATTGGGCCTTGTGGAGAACCTCGAATGTTCACGAGTGATTGTCGAAGCAACCTCATTAAAGTAATCAAGACATGCCTCAATGTGATCAAACTTTTGAGTCTATACACTAATATCTAACATACTGTTTCAGAAAGCATATCATATATGCCTAGTTTAATTCACTTGCTACCCTAGGGAAGCGAATATGTTGGCGCACAATCTTGTTTGACTAGCTTTCTTTTCCACAAATACACAAAGCTTGGGTATTTTTCATTGGTAGAAGAGTTGAACAAGAATGCGAGGTCTCTGGCTCCAACACACAACGGGAGGCCGAGAGGGATGTGGGACTTACAAACAACCACATGCAGATTACTCGGTAATGATGTTGGCCAAGCCAAAAGCATCTGCACGCGCTCGCGCCGAAAGCTTAGCTTCGTCCTTGAGGGATGAGGACCCTTTTCAGCAGGAGGATGGGGACATGGCTAGGGCATCTTGCCACCACTCCAGGAAAGAGAAGTTGGGGTGGGGTAGAGCAACCGTTGAACCACACCACGCAAGCACCTTGTGCCAGAGTTGGCGGGAGAAGGAGCATTCGACCAAGAGGTGGTGTATTGCTCTGCCGTTCTTGGTCGAATGGGAGGCACCTATCCGCGTGAGGTAGACCATGGCGAGCGAGTATTTTTGCGGTCCAACATTGGTTTTGTGAGGCCTGCCTCACAAAGATCTTGGACGCAAAAAGACACCTATATTTTCCAAGTCAACCGTCAATGTGGATCTGACTTCGAGCTAACGAACATGGCGGAATAGCAAGGGGCGGCAGTGTAGACTCCTTAACTAGTCCAACACGAGATGAGTTTGTGTGGGAAGTATATTATGTCGAAGCAAACGCCATGTCAACATACTGAACTATGATGACAGGGCTTGGGGCATCCTAGATTACAATTGTTTAATGGTAATAAAGTGGCTTTCCCAAAAAAATAGAAATCCTTTGGCCAGTTTCTTTTTCTGATCAACCGTATACACACCCTACAAAAATACATCCACCATATACACCCCCAAAATTAGCGAGCAAGGCAGGTCCGTAGTTCACAGCCGAGGTCCGTAAACCCTTGGATTTCCTCCATCTCCACACCAGTGCGGCTCCAGTCCGTCCGAGACCGGCATGGCCACCACGGCCGCCGCCGCCGCCGCGGTCCCAGACGCTATTCCAGCCGCGGCGCCCGCGGCCCCGTCCGCGCAACCGCATCCCGTTCCAGGTGAGGCTCCACCTCCCCCTTGCCCCCCTCCTTGTTTCTTCCGCACTCCTTGGTTTTGCTCTCCGATGTTAGGTTCTTTGGCCGTCTCTCGCGGACTAAGATTTGCTAAGTTGTGCTCGTCGATTAGTCATGCCTTATCCTCCGATTGATCGAAAATTCGTATGCCTAGAGCACGGACAGCCCTAGGATTATGGTTCATGTGTAAATCACATAATCTAGGTGGACTCCTCAGGGCCTATATCAATGGAAGAATATTGTGTGGAGAGATTAGCTCTTTGTCTGCTATTCTTGTAGGGTGTGTATATGGTTGACGTATTTTTTTCTTTTTCAAGATTGATATGGTTGAGGTAATTAGAATGTAGTGGAACCGTTCTAGAGCCTAACCTCATTCCAATGTTTGGTTCATAGAATCCTGCAAAGTGGAACTTAACCATGTGCTTCGCCTGATCAAATATTCCACGTATATGGGGAACAAAGTGATAACTCAAAATCAACGGAACCAACTGATCCTGATCTGCTTCCACTAGTCAGGGGACCTCACGTGAGTGCCTCCTAATGATCTGGTCACCGATGCAAACTATTGTGAACATGGGCCTGTAGCCAGTGGCGGCGTGCATCTCCTAGGCAGATGCCAAAGAGCGAGCGGTGCAGGCAGCTCACATCTCTCAGGTGGCAGGCGACAGCCACGGTGATGCACATCTCCTAAGCAGCAGAAAAAGTGCGCGCAGCGACCGGCAGCGGAAGCGACGCTAGAGCTACTGCAATGCTGACCGGAACTGTTGGATTTATCTTGTTTACACTGTTGGAGTACTAGAAATACAAATTAAACGGCGTTCAATTTTTGAGCAACATATTGTTGGAATGCAAATGAGTTATTATTGTGAAATATATACATGCATGTGCTAGAGGTAACCTCACCCTTCAGTGTAAGAGGTGATTTTAACCATATCCATTTTATCCCATCTCTCCAACAAACACTGAGATGGAACCATTCCATTCCATAATATTCCTTCGACCAAACAAACTCTAGAACTGTTCCATTATTTATATCAATTTATACCAAACATAGGGATGGAACCATTCCATTTTGTCCCCCAACCAAACGCACCCATAGAGAATATGGTTGGGGATTTGCTTGCGGCTTATTAATCAGTTTAATTGTTTCATTTCTATTTTGTCCAAATTGTTTCATTTTAATTTACAAGTGCAATAAGTGTACTCCATTGGTTTGTGTAGAGAAATGTTTATTATCTGACTACCAGGTTGTTGTTTCGCTTTCCCTTTCCGTATTATATGTTGCCCCACTCTCTGTAGCACCTGGTTATTGCAGTTATCGAAACTACATTGTAATCTTTAGCCTGGTGTCAAGTATTATGTTAGTACAACTACGACATGATGCTATTTAACCTAGCTCATCCTGTGTTAAGTGTGCCAGAATGAACTGGCCAGGGTACAGCTGGCAAATGATTATTGGTCCAGCACTATATTGCATGGAGGGCTCCTGCATGTGAATCTCGGGTCGTTAGCCCGCTACCATTTGCATGCAGAACCGAATTCTGTTTGTTGTATTCTTAATATTTTCTAGCCCAAATGGTGTTTATTTCAAGTTCTTGGAGTCAACGCTGTAATATTGTCGCATCTGCTTCTCTTTGTAAGATGAATAAACAAGTATTTGTATTGTATAAGATCAAGTATTTCAGTTGCTAGAGGATACCCCATGTGTTGCTGTGGGAATTGCTTGCAATATATTTCAATGAGATTGGTTATATGAACATGAATATTTGGATTAAGATTTAAGAATATAAGAACTAAAACTAAAAATACATATGATTATTAATTATAAAATCTTATTTAATATAAGTACTTAAGTAGCATAGTGTAATTAAAACATTTAAGACTTTTTGCATGCATGGTTGCACGTTGAGGTGGGCCTTTTCCCATGCGTAGTTGTTAGTTGAGGTGGCGTAGTGGCATGTTGAGGTGGATATGTTAGTGGGGATCAACGACTTAGTTATACTAGATCTGGTCTGTTTGTATATCTTTTCCTGACAAAATATTCTCGAGTCCAGGATCTTGTGATAGAATGATAACAATTAATGGATGCTCTATTGTACTTATTTGTGTGCTTTGTTATGCAGACAAATGTACGAATTATAAAAACCATTTGCAAGAGTGGACTCAAAGGAATGATCAGAAGTTGCCAGCTTATAATACTGAGTCGAAACGTGACCATCGTCGACTTGAGTTCAGAAGCACCGTTGAGGTGGGTGGCGAGCGGTTTCAATCAGCTCGCAATCATAGCCGCCGCAAGGATGCAGAGCAGGATGCTGCCAGAGTAGCCTATGAAACCTTGGTGACAAAGACAATAATAAGTGATGATGATCATACAGACGCGCTTGGGCTGATTGATCAGGTATTTTTTTTGGTACAATCCTTTCGTTGTTTACCATCCATCAATTTCATGTTTAAATTTGTCCTGTGAATTGTGCTATATCACATCCTAATTCGTGTCTCCTCATCATTCTCCTTTTTTAATTTGCCATACAATAGACGGCGCCACACAATTTGGTGTGTTTATCACTTTTCCCTCTTTTGCCTACTTGTGTTATATTTTCTAGTCATAGGTATAAATGATATTGCCACAAATAACCCGTGATTTCAGGGTATTGGAAGTGATAACATTTATCACTGCAGAATTCAGAGTTTTCCTGATCACTGCAAATGCATTCTTCTGGTTCATCTATACCATATACTGTACTCTTGTGACATAATAGCTCTTTTTGTCCTCTTCTGATTTTCCGGGTTTTGTAACTCATGTTTGTGTTAAACATAACTGCTAATTGATATGTCCCAAGAACAGATAATCTCCTTTGTGTTCTTTATGTTTCAGATGTTATTGAATGATGAATCAGCTAATCTTACCATTTTATTATTACATGTGGATGTGCGTAGTAGCATCCTTTCATGTTAGCATTTTAATAATCATGCCTGAAATGAAGGAATTGATTTCAGTCTAACATAGATGTTCTCTTTTATTCTATTCAGGGCGTGGTGTTCTGCAAATCAATTCTCCATGAATTTGCTGTTAAGACAAAAGCTGAACAGCCCACTTACTCCGCAGATCATCGAGAAGGGGTATCACCCATGCCCCTGTTTGTTTCTTCTGTGTTGTTTGCTGGGAACACTTATACTGGTGAAGCTGCAACATGTAAGAAGGACGCAGAGCAGAAGGCTGCTCGTGTTGCAGTCAAATCTATTTTAGGTAACTTATATTTCGTTGTTCATGATTAGGAATAAAGCTCCAAAACCTTTGTTTGTACTTATTGTATTTAGAATTAGTAGCGGGCTTTTAGGAGTAGAACTAATTATTCACTATGTTGTTGCAGCTACAAAGAATACTTGTATGCATCAAATTGTCAGATCAAAGAAAGAGCTTATCATTGCCATCACATCTTCTGGGTTCAACAAAGAAAGAGGAGTTGTAAGCCAGGAAAACTGCAATGCTCCAACAAATGCAATTACTCTAATAAAATTTGTGCCTGCTGGTGAAGCTGCTGGTCTAACTGCGGATCAAGGAGCGACCAACGTTCCTGAAGATGATCCATGTGCACAAGCTGTATCTGGCTCGGAAAAGTGCAAGAAGCACAGAAAGGTTTGACGAGAAGACTCTCACCCATCTTAACATGAGGTATTTTTTTTCTTTCAGTTTATACTATGTATAAAAATGACATTGATTTTATTGCGGACACCTATAGGAGCATTAGGTGAGTTGAGAGTTTAAGTCCCATTGGCGAAATACCTATTTTTAAGATCTGGTTCATGTAATCTCAAGCAATTAAGTATCTATTCACATAGCTATTACATAATGATAACAATAGCTTCCGGATTGCAAGCCCATTCCTGCAACAGTTCTCATCAACACCACTCACTGTCATAATTAGATCACCTTGTATTGAGGTTCAAAGAGGTAGAAAATGGATAATTTTATGTTTTAATAGTAACGTCTGAATGCTTTGAAAAACATCATATCTTGTGTTTTCTTTTGCATCAGTGTCTTGTAGTCCCTCTGTAAAGAAATATAAGATCGTTTAGATCACTAAACGATCTCTTATATTTCTTCACAGAGGGAGTATCTTTTATATATGGGAATATTTGTTGGCTCAAAGTTAATGGACAGGAATTTCAGTTTGTTGTATGTCTTGACCATCCACATAACTGTCAAGATGTATGAAATGAAATTAACTAATAGGTTGCTTGGTTGGTGCTGTCAAAATTTTGCTTTACATAATTGTCCCTCAGAAAAAGGTAGTCTTGTGGGATATTGTCCTTAATTTTCATCCTTGCTGCATCAAACCATGCGGCATGGATATCCCTCGTATGTTAAAAAGAGCTTTAAGAGTTACAGCAACTAAATAAAGTGTCTAATTAGCCGTCATCATGTTACCCTTTAGGGCGTGCATGAGGCATGTCTTATCCAGGAATGCACGAACAAACACCATTTAATATTTATGGATGTTCTTATAGTCATGTAACTATTGCAAATCTGCAAGGTCCCATCTGCTTTAAACATATTTGGAACATTGCAATTCATCTTAAAGGCTTGCCGTGTTGATCAAGATTACTAGCTGGGATACTATTGTATATGCCAAAGTGTGCTAATTACTTGCGGAAATATTTTGTTTACTTCATTCGTTTGAAGTGCTCAATTACCTTGTCCAAGACCAGCTGAAATATTATCTAAATGTACTCGGGCCCTTTGCCACAAAATCTGGTACAATTGGATCGAGTAATTCGTCGTTCTTCTAGCAATCTTGCTATCCCATATTTTGGCGGAAGTGCTCCTCCAGAGTGTTACACTGAACTGAGCTTCTTAATTCATCGGCAGGTTTCGTTGTCTATGATGGTGGAAGTGAAGGGACTGCTGGTTATGTGGCGCTGTGTATGACATGTTTTTGGACCATCGCTAGGATGCTTGTTGGAATGACGTTGAGTAAGGCATCCACTCTCCGTATGTTTCCGTGATTAGCTTAGCTTGGTATCAGGAACTCAGGTTTCTATCGAAGTGGCTTCGCTCTGTCAGGAACTCTGGATCTCTGTGATGTAAATGGTTCGCCGTACCGTTTCCAATCTGTGTTTGTGTCAGATCAGATCTCTTGACGACGTGTTTGGTTCAAGCAAATACTCCCGCCGTCCGAAAATACTTGTCGGAGAAATTGATAAAAATGGATGTATCTAGAACTAAAATACATCTAGATACATCCATTCTCCGACGACTATTTCCGGACGGAGGGAGTATTACCCATCATCGCCGTAAACAAGCCACGTTACCGGACCAGCGACGACCTCGGTCTTCTCCGTATGCTGTCATGCCCCAAAGCAGCGTGACAATGGTAGAAGATGAACAGTAGGAAGTGACGCTGAAACGTTACAGTAACTAGGGAGCGAATGCCAGCCGTTGGATCTTCATAGCTGCACTTGATCTGGTCTGTCCGTTAACTGATCCTCAGTCTGTCTTAACTGAATGTGAGCGACAGCTAAACATTCCTGACGTCGGCGGCCGAGGCTGCGGCTTTGATTCCCTCGTTGCGTATTCCGCTGGCGTCCGTGGCCTAGATTCTCTCCCGTCACAGGCACAATCAAATGAGTGGAGGCATTGGAGATGAGGCGTGCGGAGGCCGGAGAGGAGTGTGTCGTGGCTGGCAGGGAGGCCGGTGAAGCAGCCAGCGATGTGGTCTGCAATGGTGGAGCGGCCAAAGGTGCCTCCCAGCTCTGAGCTCATGCGTACTCATGCATCCGCAAGATCCAACCATCAGCTGGAAACGAGATCCAACCATCAGCTGGAAAAACGAGATGGGAGAAAAGGTGAGAAATTTCCCGTCCCTTGTGTGCTCTCTTTCCTCACCGTAACTCCATTCCCTCGAACGAAACAAAACAGATATTTGTCCATTGCCTCCCTGTTTCCAGCGTGATCTAATTCCCTTACCGTTTGCGTTACCCCCGTCTAATCCAAACACCTCCTTGTGTTTTCCCTTTTGCCATTTCCCAGCATTACTGAAAGCTGGGAGACAGGGAGAAGCATGTGATAGTTGGTATATGTTGGTACCATGGATGTGCACGGACTTCACAACATCATCATAGTTCCAGTAAATTGATCGACGGATCCAAGAAAATCAAGCAGAAAATAAAACCGCATATAACATTCCATTTTCTGTTCTATGTCCAGGACCAGCCACAGCTTCCAAATGACATGGAACAGGTTTCGGCGCACACAGGCACACACTAAATCATGAATTCACAGACCCAACCAGTATTTTCGAATACTCAGTTTTCTGTCCGATGTGCCACTTTCACTGGGTGCTTCTTTGAACGCTAGCTACTACTCCCTCCATCCGGAAATACCTGTCGGAGAAATAGATGTATCTAGACGTATTTTAGTTCTAGATACATCAATTTTTACCCATTTCTACGACAAGTAATTCGGGACGGAGGGAGTATTTATTATCATTACTCGAAACTGAACCCTGAAAGTTTGTCCATAGATAACAGGTGCCTTCTCCTTTTCAAAAGGAAAAGAAGAATGTCTGCACAAATGATTATGCCTCCGCATTCCTGGGAATTGGTACTCCTAACCCTGCTGTCAGGACTTTGTATGCGCTCTGGATTTGTCTTGTGACCGGACCGATTTTCCCATCACCAATTTCACGGCCGTCAATCATCACGACCTGTTGCAAATCAGAATAGTGACCATCTAATTAGAATCACAAAATACCTTTCCTTGAACAGGACAGTGCCTGTAAAACAAACTAGCATGCTCAAACCATGAGCTGCATGACACATCACGGGAAAATTTTGATCATTTGATCTGAACACAGGTTCATACAAACCGATGTTTTTTTGCTTCACAAGAAAACCATAAATGTAGAACATAACACATGCAAAAATTTGGTCAAACACATGATCATATTTCATATGTGCATTTGTACAGAATAATATTTTTGCACATGCCCCTTCCCCGGACCCTGCGCAAGCGGGAGCTACATGCACCGGGCTGCCCTTTTTACAGAAATGTAGGGAAAGGCTGCGTACTATAGACCCAAAGTGGTCGGACCCTTCCCTGGACCCTGCGCAAGCGGGAGCTACATGCACCAGGTTGCCCTTTTTATGCAGATAAGCTAACAAGCCTACATCTATCAACCGTTGACATTTTTAGCAACCAAAATGGGTTCATATGATCTGTTCATAGAAGTCGCATTGAAATGTTGCCCAATCTGTACTGTACTCATTTCAAAATTAAACAAACCACTGGGGTATTGGCCACAACCTATACCAAATGTTGGGCGCAGCCCTCTCTCAATCTCTCAGCTCATTGTTGGTGGACACACCCACACACCCACATGACCAGGTAGAACAGATGGGAAGGCAGGGAAGAGAGCTGCCTGAGCAACAACTGCCGTATTTAGTGCTTACCAACAAATGCTACATCTCTCTTACAAGCACATCAATTATCGCCTTACAAGCAACAAATGCATTGTCTCACATGATGCTCATCAGCAACACATGCTGTGAGGCTACATCCTTACACGCACTCCTCTTATACACACATGCATGACACGTACATATGTGCTACATCCTGACACAAAGGCTTGCTACTACATATTGGCCGGAAAGTGCATTTGGTGGCCGGGGTTTAGGGAGTCCCTTTTTTTCAGCTTAAAAACATTTTCTACACCTCAAGGAAATCTGAAAAAAAAATTATACACAAACATATATGTGTAGTGTATACATACAAAATTTTCATGAACATATATGTTCATATGTGATGTACACAAAAAAGACGAATACATAGATTGAAATGGGCTTTTGCTTTGTTGTATTTGGGCCAGATTTTTGTGTCTTGCGTAACTTGCAAGTTATCATATTATTTTATGAAAATATACATATACTTAGAGAACATGTATACGCATTTGTAGAAAAAAATGTTTTTTTCTGAAACTTATAAATACATTTTGTCAAAAAAAGAGAGCTCCCTGGAGCCCGTCCTATAAAACGCTGCACTCTATCTTGGCTTGCTACTTAGATTCTCTCCATATGGGGTGCCCCTCCTTATATAGAGGTTTATACAGCGTTGTTCAGACACCACCATGCTACAGTATCGAACTGGACACTACTCATGCCTAGCTACTCCCTGTGCATAGGGCATGTATCATCAATTTAACTAGCTATATTTGTATTATATGTAACAAAAAATATATTTAGAAACTACATTCGCATATGTATCCAGTGATATGCTTTTGATGACATATAGCACATTATTAGTTAGTCAAATTGACGACCTAGAACTACGCGCATGCCCTATGCACCGAGACAGATGGAGTAGCTTCCTTGCGTATTAAACTTTGCTTTTACTACTACTTGCTGCAGCTCTTTCTTACTCACTAAACAATTACTCCCTCCGTTCCTAAATATTTGTCTTTCTAGAGATTTCAACAAGTGACTACATACGGAGCAAAATGAGTGAATCTACACTCTAAAATATGTCTATATACATCCGTATGTGGTAGTCCATTTGAAATCTCTAAAAAGACAAATATTTAGGAACGGAGGGACTAGCAGTCAATTTTCTTTTTGACTACGCTCACTGCCATACTAGAGATGTCTTGCATCTTCTTGTCCAAGCCATAACAATATTAACTCCAACATGGTGGCAGTACAGAAATGGATAGAAAAACATGACCATATAGTGCAAAAAAGTCAGCTCACCGGTGTAATTTCACCCATTGTTCCGGTTGTCCACACCTGCATGTGAAAAAACACATTACCAGGGAATAAATAGTGTATTTTAACTTACTGTAGTAGTTGAAAGTATGCAGCCTGCCTTATTATGGTAGTTCATAAACAAGGAGAGGTGTTAATTTTGAAGTTCTTCTAAAAGAAACAGCCAAATTTGCACGATTTATTCTACACATGCATATGTCATGTAACTGAAACTTATAACTATAACTATAGCTATAGCATCATTTTAGGTTTATTAACATTAAAGAGGAAAGTAAAAGCCTGCACAAAAAGGAAAAGAAGTAATTTCAAAATCTTAAAATGCTTAGTAATTGCTAACTTAGAAGTGGTTGAACTTCAAAACTTGATAACAAATGTCTGCCGCCTCAAAGTTCTCGTTCGACATGTTTAGCTGATGGGCGGTAGCCTCGTTGTCATTGAGGTCTGACCATACTGACCTCATCTCTCGTGTGTCCACATCGTCCTAATGTTATACGAACCTAAGATGTTAGTGTGGAATGTGCGCGGGCTCAATAATCGAGCTCGGCGTATGGGTGTTCGGAGCCTCGTCAGTTCAACAGTTCGGAGCCTCGTCAGTTCAACAGGCACTTCCATTGTCTGTTTGCAGGAGACTAAGTTGGCAGTTGTAACCCCTACTATAGTTATGGAAGACTTTGGCGCGGATTTTGATGATTATTATGCTTGCTGGCTACTGACACTCATGGGGGATTATTATAGTTGCGTGGATAGGTCGCACAGTTAAGCTGTGCAATGTCCACCTGGGTGACCACAGCGTCTCGGTTTTGGTCTCCCCCTCCGAGGGGAGGTTCTTGGTGGTTGACTTGTGTCTACGGACCACAGGAGGACGCAGAGAGGATTGTTTTCCTTGCCGAGCTGCGAGATGGGTGATTTACCCGGCCAGGTCCCTAGGTTGTTTGCGGTGATTTCAACATGATTTACCATGACGAAGACAAGAGCAATAACTACCTGCACAGTCACATGATGGGAAGGTTTAGACGCTTCCTAAATACTGCAAGCTCAAGGAGCTACACTTGGTTGAATGAGTGTGGTGCCCCCACCTTGGTGAAGCTCGACAAGGTGTTCTACACAATAGATTGGGAGGACCTCCTCCCAAACTGCTGGTTGTAGTGTCTCCCCACTGTGATATCCGAC